ACCCGCTCCTACGTGGGTCCCTCCCACGGGCCGTAGGCGAAATCTCCAGCAGCTTTCCCAGCGGGGTGGGTCTCCGAAGGACATTGCTCCGGCAGCTTCCAGCCGGTGGGGCAGGATGGAAGCATCTCATTTCACCGAAATCCCCCCTTTCCGCCCCGCAGCTGCCGGCCGGAGCTTTCCCCGGAGGAAGCGAGATGAGGAGCCGCCGTCGTACCTGAAGTGGGTGGCTTTTGAAGGGAAGCTGCCCGCCAACGCCATCTCCAGCTGGAACAAGTACGCCGAGAGGACGGAGTACGTTTGCTCAACGTCGGTGCTCGGCTGCAACACCGGTGCCTACGTCCCCGACCGAGGTCCCTTCTGCTACTTCCCCTACGGAGAATGGGAGTGGAAGACGCACGACTTCAAGGTGTTGGTCAACGTGGGAGACTTTGAGGTGTTGGATTGGGTGGATGACTCCTTCGGCGGTGTGCCCGAAAATGCCGTGGTGGGCTGTCCGTCCGTGGATGTCTTCGTTGGGAGGAACGACTATGGCTTGGGCAAAGTCTCCAAAGACCAGAGGGCGGCCTTCATGATGGTGGACGGGGAGGAGGTTTGGTACAAGTGGTACCAGGTCTTGGTGGTCAAGAAGGGTCCAGCAAACGTCACCATCTCCGACGTCCGCTACAACACGAGCGGCGTGGTGGAGCACGGGGAGGACGTCACCCTGACGAAGACCGTGGTGAGGAACGAGGGCTGCCACGGGATGCGTAAAGCCGTCACCTTGGAGGAGACCACCGAGACGGAGCACGACTGGAACATGGACCAGAGGGTCTTCGCCACCGTTCGCGGGGTGTTGCGAGCTGCCATCTTGACCTTCAACAGGACGGGCTGGGGCATCACCAGCGTCACCGACATCCCTTGGGTGGGGGGAGCCAGCGCCAGCGAGTACGTTGTCCACACCCACGTGGTGGAGGAGGAGGTGCGTCCCCGCACGGCCTGCGCGGTGGCCCTGGAGGGACGCCGCTTGGATGTCCACGTCCCCTTCACCGCGCAGCTGACCCGTGATTTTGGCGACCATCAACCGCACCGGGTGGCCGTCATGGGGTGGGCTCGCAGCCGGGCGGTGGTGGGCGTCGGGGCCAGCGTCAAGGGGTGCTGGACCATCGCTGACGCCCCACCGTGCCGGGCGTAGGGGAGACCGATCAGCCTGGCTGCTGCTTGCAGTCCGCTCTGTCTCTTTTCGTTCTCCCAAATAACTACAGTCTCGCCCCGAAATGGGATGGCAGCAACCTGGAACGCAGGAAAACGCATTTATGTTGCCATCCGTGTTCTCGTGGCTTAATCTTCCTCCCTCTCCGAAATTACATGGCAACCGTGTGGCATTGCAGAAAAACGTGGTGGGGTGGTTGGTTTTTTTTTCAGTCCACATTTTCTATTCTCCAAAATAACCTCCACCTCTCCCCAAAAAGACACAGCAACAGCGTGGCCTACAGAAAAACACTATTTTTGCAGCATTTTCTCTTTTTTTTTCTCCAATAACCTCCATCTCTCCCTGGACCGGGATGGCAGCGGCGCAGGATGACAAAAAAGGCGTTTCTTGTCTCTGCTTTTTTCCTTTTTTCCACTGTAACTTTCGCCAAGCGCCTCCCTCCGACCTGGCAGAGCAGCCGCCCGGTGGGGAACCTCCCCTCCACCCAGAGCTGGACGGACAGAATTCCCTGCCACGACGCCCGCGTTGTCTTTTCTTCTGGCATTTCAGGGAAAAATGCTCGCGGAGTGACCAAATTCGGGTGCGAGGTTCGTTAGAATCTTCCCAACGTGTGATTTTAGTTAGAAAAGGGGTGAGGGAGAAGGAAAAAAACCCAAAATAAGGGATGGAAAGGCAATCACTCCTCTCAGGATGGTGGTGGAGGTGGCGTCTTTGGAAGATCCTCATGGAGGTGGCCTCATCTCAGGATGATGGTAGAGGTTGTGTCCTTGGAGGACACTCATGGAGGTGACTGTAGAGGTTGTGTCCTTGGAGGATGCACATGGAGGTGGTGTCACCCCAGGATGGTGGTGGAGGTGGTGTCTTTGGAAGGTCCTCATGGTGGCATCATTGCAGGATGGTGGTGGAGGTGGTGTGTTTGGAAGATCCTCGTGGTGGCATCATCTCAGGATAGTGATGGAGGCTGTGGCCTTGGAGGACCCTCGTGAAGGTGGCATCATTGCAGGATGGTGGTGGAGGTGGTGTGTTTGGAAGATCCTCGTGGTGGCATCATCTCAGGATGGTGATGGAGGCTGTGGCCTTGAATGACCCTCATGAAAGCCTTGAAGGACCCTCATCATTGCAGGAGGATGCTGGAGGTTGTGACCTTGGAGGACACACATGGTGGTGACATCATCTCAAGGTGATGGTGGGGGCCATGTTGTTGGAAGAACCTTATGGAGGTGGCGTCATCTCAGGAGCATGGTGGAGGTTGTGTCTCTTGGAGGACCCTCATGGAGGTGGCTTCATCTCAAGGGGGTGATGGAAGTGCTGTCCTTGGAGGATGAACCTGGAGGTGGCATCATCTCAGGATGGTGATGGAGGCTGTGGCCTTGAAGGACCCTCATGAAGGCCTTGAAGGACCCTCATCATTGCAGGATGGTGGAGGTTGTGACCTTGGAGGGCACTCATGGTGGTGACATCATCTCAAGGTGATGGTAGGGGCCGTGTCATTGGAAGACCCTCATGGAGGTGGCATCATCTCAGGAGGATAGTGGACGTGGTGTCCTTGGAGGATGAACACGGAGGTGGTATCATCTCAGGGTGATGGTGGAGGACCCACATGGAGGTGGCATCATCTCAGGAGGATGATGGAGGTGTTGTCCTTGGAGGATGAACATGGAGGTGACATCATCTCAGGGTGATGTTGGGGGCCATGTCATTGGAAGACCCTTATGGAAGTGGCATCGTCTCAGGAGGATAGTGGAGGCTGTGACCTTGGGGGACACTCACGGTGGTGACATCATCTCAGGGTGATGTTGGGGGCCATGTCATTGGAAGACCCTTATGGAAGTGGCATCGTCTCAGGAGGATAGTGGAGGCTGTGACCTTGGAGGACACTCATGGAGGTGGCATCATCTCAGGGTTATGGTGGGGGCCATGTCATTGGAAGACCTTTATGGAGGTGACATCGTCTCAGGAGGATAGTGGAGGCTGTGACCTTGGGGGACACTCACGGTGGTGACATCATCTCAGGGTGATGGTGGTGGTGGACCCGGCGCCCAAGGGGTTAACCCCCTCCTCACCTCTCCCCCAAGGCATGAGCGACAGCGGAGCTGACCAATTGGTGTGCGGGTAGGATGGCCACCCTGCCCAAATGGCGAGAGATGGAGGGGAGCGAGGGGTAGTGCCCCACCCTTAGGGGGGAGGATGGGCTGGGGCGTTTTCCTGGAGGGTTGGGGGATTCAGGGGTGTCCTGGAGGACTTCTGGGGGTCCGAGGGAGTCTGGGTGGGGGTGTCCAGGGGGTCGCGAAGGTCCCTGAGGGCTGGGGCAGTCCAGGAGGGCTGGGGGCTACAGAGGGGTTGGGGGTCCTGGAAGGCTTCG